CCTAGCTGTCACTCCCTGCACGGTCAATCCCGTTCAGATTGGAGAGGAGGCTATCAAGATGTTCGACGTAGAGGCCCGTCGTGTTGACATTGACCTCAAGATGACTGTGGACAAGTCGTACCGGGAGCTGGGTCACGTTTACCTTGATCTTGATCCCTCTCGCGTCAAACAGGTCCTCATCAACTTGCTTACAAACGCTCTCAAGTTCACAAAGTCCGGGTCAATCAGGAATGTATCCGTCTGCATGAAAGCATCGCGACAACGGCCGACGGACGAGACGGCACCGGTCACCTTCATTCCCCGATCCTGCAAAGAAGAGTCAGAGTACGAGCAGCCTGCTCTCGACAGTCGTAAAGACCCAGTCTACATCATGTTCGAAGTCAAAGATACCGGCCAGGGTCTGTCAGAAGACGAAAAGTCAAATCTCTTCAACAGGTTCGTGCAGGCGAGCTCGCGAACTCATGTCAAATACGGTGGAAGCGGGCTGGGGCTATTCATCTCGCGACGATTGACAGAGCTGCAAAAGGGCGCTATCGGTGTGTCCAGCTTGCCAGGGGTGGGGTCCACGTTTGCATTCTTCATCGAGGCATACGTGCCGACAGAGTCTTCGCGGAGGGAAGCCGAATCTGCAGCCGCGGCTGTGAGAATGACGACTCTGGCTACTGCGTCGAGCACGCCATCCACGATGCCGCGGATCAGAGCCCCTGCGAACGAACAGAAGACACCTGGCTCGCGGCCGAAACCTAAGAGTTACGACCCCCGGCTGGATGGGATCCTTGTGGTGGAGGACAACCTGATCAATCAGCAAATCACCCGTCGCGGCTTACAGGATAGGGGGTTCACTGTCGACGTGGCCAATCACGGAATCGAGGCTCTGGAACGACTCATGCAGTCCATGTCCCTGCAAAAGCAAGACGACCCAGAGTACTTTACTCACAGCAACTCGAGTTCTCAGGGCCCTGCCGTATCGATCAACCTCATCCTCATGGACATAGAGATGCCAGTGCAGGACGGGTTGACATGCACGCGGCGAATCCGTGAACTAGAGAAGGAAGGAAGAGTGTTTTGTGCGAGCGGTGGAAGAATCCCCATCATCGCCGTCAGCGCCAATGCAAGGCCGGAGCAGATGCAAGATGCCAAGAGCGCGGGGTGTGACGACGTGCTCGTCAAGCCTTATCGGATGCCGGAGCTAATCGAGAAGATGCAAGTGGTGGTCCGGCGGATGGGGGGTCTTTCTCCCGGGTCGCCTTTACGATAATGAAAGTAAGGGCTTCCCATCGGAGTGGCGGAGGGGGGAGCAGCAAGAAAGCATTATTGGTCACATGGATAACCAAGGGCTGGTGATCCTGCAGAGACGGGTACGGCGTTTAGGTAAAGGGGAGCCACAGCAGGACTGGGCTCGGGGATGAGGACTGCTTCCGGGGTTTAGTCTGGTCACACTTGGCTGTGTGTCATGTGGTGGCTGGACGAACAGAGATACCAAAAATGGCCTTGGATGCTGGCCGACAGGAAGACTTCAGACGTTGGATGTTCCACGGGCAGAGAGAGTGATTTGGTATCGGATGGCGTTGATCGGCGGGGGGGCTAGCCATGTCGATGGATCTGGGAAGAAAGACTGGCTTAATTCAGAAATGAGGTAGAAAGGGGAATTGTTTCGTGGAGTGAGGTTCCTTGGCGTCTGTTGCTGAGGTAAATCTGATGATTATTCACCAACGTAGACGGGTCAGACAGAGAGAAGAATTGATACCTCGGATGTGAACTTTTCAACCCCATGTCGTTACATGGAGCAATACGGACATCTCGCACCTTGCTTCAGAGTCGTCGCCGCTGGTAAAACCTCCACAGGCACCTACCTGTACCTGAGACTGAATCATTTGTGCCTCTGTGAGCTTATTGCCCTCCTTCTACTGCTGCTGCTGCTGCTGCTTGAGAATTAGGTAGCCTCGGGGCTGTGGAACATGGCGAAATCTCAGAATTCTTAAAGACCGTCAGGTGAGGTTGTTGATATTCACGATAACCAACTTAGTCTCGCCAAGGAAAGAGTGAAAGGGGAAAAAAATATGAGACAAGACGGAGAAATTCGTAATTGGTCGGGATTTTTGGGGGCCGCCGGTGATGTCCTCCATGGATGGATGCAGGGGAGCGGTTTTGTGTCACGGCCCCACTATATGGGCGCCGCGTTGTACTTGGCCGGTGGAAGAAGCCCAGGTTCTATGCAATTTGGTGTACGCATAGGACAAACAGAACCTTTTGATTTCTCACCGGGGAGAATCGAGGAATGTAGCTTAGGTAAATAGATAGAGAAGATTGGAAAGATTTAATGTATCTTGGGTAGTAGGTACGGATAAAGTACGCTCCTTCCTTGTGTAAGGTAACAATGGCGTGACATATCTCAGGTCGGGTACGGGCAGCAGGGTGTCCGGGCCGACGCGGGCTTTTCGAGGTGTGAGGAAAGGTTGAGTATTGGAGAACCTCGATCATGGACTTGACGGCTTCTCACGCGTCTCTTGGTTTCTTGCGTTCTATCGCGCAGGTTTTGCCCATCTTTTGGAATATAGCGTGAGACGAGGTATAGATAGGACTCCCGTTTGGCATGTGAGATAACGGGAAGGGGTCTTGCAATGCAAATGGGCTTTCCTGAGATGCGGGAGCACAGGTTTGCGTACGGGCTTATGCATGTCATCTAAGCACTAAATCACTCTGGTGAATGAAGTGCTCGTCTGTAATCAGACGATGGGGTCTCTCGAGTTCTCGAGGCCCGCTCGCGGCAGAGGTTGCCCGGGGACGGGAGCTATTCCTTTTGGCCTGGGGAAGGTCCGTGGTTTGTTATCTGAGGTTCCTGGCCGAGCTTCTTTCCTTGAGGGTCTTATGAGCTAGGTACCTAACCTATGAGAACGCTACAGGAAGGCATGACCTGCGGTTTATTATCTGCTTTCCTTCCAATTCCCCGACACATGTTCTTTCCGGAAATCTAGCGTAAACGGACAATACCTTAGCCGCACCATCAGAGGTGGATATTTGGCAGGTTCGATTTGTAGTGTAAGATTGGGGGAACGAGGGGAAGTAGGTAAGGTGCCATACCCCTCCCCCACCAAGTCAGGTACCTCAGCCAAGATTCACGTACCAAGGTACTGCGCACTGCGTCGCGGGCATAGCTCCTGCATGGCGCTATCCACCCCACCCCTCATCCGAGTGCAACAGACGGAGCTCCCACCCGACACTTCCCTCTGCTCACTGCACTTGACCTCACACTCGCAAACGTCCCTGCGCAACGCCGTCTTCAACCGACCACCCGCATCTACCGGACCTACATTACCTACTACCTGGACTTGCATACAGCTTACCTAGCCAACCGGACTACCGAATATAAACTCTCCGCAAGGCCTCCTCCTCCCCCTTCGACGCCTCTCTTTCTCTTCCTTCAAATGCCCCCAAACTCCACGCTATTAACCACACTCCAAAAGTTGCCCCGCCTTCGACTCCGGAACTCCATTCTCAACAGCAGCATCACCTCGCCGCTATCGTCGTCCCGGTCTTGTGCCTTTGGGTCTCTGTGCTTACCTACACCGACGACATCAACGAAGACTACCTGCCGAGTAGCAATCTGCGACACACGGCAACAACAACAACAACAACAACAACAACAACAACAACCATCCCAAAACCGCCGATTCTCCACAACCGGCGCCGATCGTCAAGGACGAAACGTAGTACTGCTAGGACAAGAAGTGGGCGTCGAGAGAATCACAGACGAAATGGCGGACCGGATTCACCGTGTGACCATGTTCAAGATTGCCGATGAGGGGCAGCAGAAGCAGTTGATTGAACAGTACAAGATCCTGGGAGGCTCGCATAAGAAGGTTTGTTTCTACTCTTTTTTTTTTTTTCGCTTCTCTTCGTTCTTGTTATTGCGGTCCTTTGTTGTGTTCGCGAGTGCGGAACGGAGAGGAGCGGGATCTTTCGTTCCATCGGATCCCGGCACCCGTAATTCGGCCCCACCATAGCTCGTCCGCGCCGACGACGGTTTCCTGGGTGGTTATCGAAAGACGGGCGAAGAAAGGACATGTTGGGTTTCATGTTTCTACGGCTTTGCCATCCGGCTTTTCATAATACCATAGTTTCCACCAGGCCAATACTGACAAAAACCTCCACCAGGATGGAAAGCCGTACATCCTCTCCATGGTCGTCGGACCGGCCGTCGACGACCCGCGCGCCCAGGGCTTCACCATTGTCGCCAAGACCGAGTTCGCCTCGCTCGAGGATATGAAGTACTACGACGATGAGTGCGCCGCCCACGGCGTCCTAAAGTCCTTTGTCAAGGGCAACCTCACCGTCGGCGGCGTCATGTCCGTCTACTTTAAGCCCGAGGCCGTTTCCGTCTTGTAGATGTGTATTTTCTGGTGATTAGGAGAAGAAGCACTCGTAGATCCAGAGCGTACTCGGGATGGTGCAAATCCAAGAGGAAATTCATTGAGGGGTTAAAAAGAGAAAACTGTGATTCGTGGAGTAGCATTTTCTCTCCCCGAACCTCTCTCTGGTGTAATAGAAACTTATTCCAGGAAAAATGTCAAATACTCCTTGTTGCCGGTTATGGACAGGTATCAAGCTACTTTGCATACGTGGAATTTCTCCTCCTCCTCCTCCTCCTCCTCCTCCTCCTCCTCCTCCAATTCTGAAACACAATCATCAATTGCCCCTCTTTCTCAGTTGTTGACCTTTGTTGCCTCGAACCACTGTTTTTTTTTTCATTTCTTTTTCTTTCCCCCTCCTCCTCCCAATCGTGCAGAGCTAACGATTGACAATCAGCTCTGCAATAAAAACCCACTTACAGCCCGGGATATGAGATAAGGAAATAAAGCCGCATCACCGACAAATCGAGACAAATCGACAAGAGAAAACAGACAAAGACCACACACAAACACACACACACACACAAACACACACACACACACACACACACACACACACACACACACACACACACACGCACGGCTACACGATCACGAGGCAGCGGCAACAGCGGGCGCGGAAGCCGGAGCAGTCGCAGGCGCCGTAGTCGAGGCCGCAGTTGTGGCAGCAGTCGTGGCAGCCGCATCAGTAGCGGGAGCAGTCGTGGCAGGAGGGGGCGGCTGCGTCAGGGTTCCCTCGGAAAAGTTCTTGAGCCCCTCCATCCAGGCGGCGAAGCCCGTCTCGAGCTGGCCGACCATGGTGAAGCGGAGGACCTGGGCGAGGGGACCGTAAAAGGTCTCCCAGCAGCGGTACTCTGTGCCGTTGCCGTCCTCGGTCTCGAGGAACTCCTGGACGCGCTCGGATTTCAGGACAAAGGGGGGCACGAGGCCGCCCGTCTTCCAGCAGACGCGGTAGCCCTTGCGGCCGCGGTGGACGGGCTGGGTCTCGCCGTTTGCGACGGCGGTGGAGGCGGCGGCGTGGGTGTACTCTTCGAGCTTCGTCACGACGAGGGCCTGCTTGGTGGTCGTCTTTGCCGGGTCGAGCGTCATGTGGACTTCAAAGGTGACGTGGGTGCCCTCGAGGAGGAGCTCGCCGGGCTGGTTCTTCGCGACGGAGGAGTCGGCGAGCATGGGCGGGACGGCGAGGCCGGAAGGGCGGGAGACGGTGGCCTTGGGGACGAAGGTGTTCCAGGCCGGGTAGGTTGCCGGGTTGAGGACGGCGGCGAGGACGGCGGTGGGCTTGGCGGCGATGGGGGTCGCGCAGGCGATTGTGAGGACGGCGCCGACGTCGCCGTGGGACGGGGTCGCGAGGGGAGGGGAGACGGGGGTGGGCGTCAGGGAGGTGGGGATGGAGTCGGTGCCCTTGTCGAGGGCCTTGGGGGATTTGGGCTTGAGCTGGTCGGGGATCTGCTTGATCGAGTCCGGGATGGTGATTCTTTGGCGTATGGCCTCCATTGTGTTGTTGATGATGATTAACTGTTACTGACGGTTGTCTGGACTTCTTCTTGGGGGTATCTCTGGGTATAATGATGGATGGAGGAAATCAAGCCGGTATCACAACGAAATTGTTCAAAAGAGGAAGAAGTTTGGCCGGATGGGTATTTGATGTGAAAGATGAAGGTAAGGAGAGAAAAGACGGCGAGCGGAGAAAGGATGGAACGATGGAGGGGGAAAGGGAGTAAGTAAAGGAACTCAAAAGTAGGGCGAGAAGGCAAAGAGAGGGCACACAGGTAATAGAAACGGGAGCGATTCAGGTTAGTTGTATCAAATGGACGGGATTGGGCTTTAGACTTCCTGGTCTCGTGAGGAGATGCGCGTCATGGG